ACATCCTCGTCCGCTCCTCCTGTAGTTGAGACAATGCTCCCTAGATAAGTGAATGAAGTAACCTCTTTCAAATCCCTCCCGTTGATGGTGATTGACGTTGGATGTTGCTGTTGTTGTTGGTTGGTTATTTTCATAACCTCCGTCTTGTCTATGTTTACCTGGAGTCCTGTCTTCGCCGGCTGCTTCTTCGACCAGTTTGTCGGTTTTCGCTTGTAAGTCTTCGATTGTGTGTGACATCAAACATAAGTCATCCGCGAAATCCAGGTCTTCTAGGTTCTTCACGTCGGTCCAGGATATTCCTGTCTTCTCGTTTCCCACAGTCTGACGCATAATCCAGTCCACCACAATTAGGAATATCATTGGTGATAATAAGCACCCTTGTCTGACTCCTGTGTTTACTCCAAACGCCTCGCTGAGTCTTCCGTTGTGGATCACTTGGCAGGTGCCGTTGTCGTACAGCTGTTGAATAAGGTTGATGAATATTTGGGGTACGCCATAGTACTCGAGTAATTTCCAAATTACTTCACGGTCAACGCTGTCGAAGGCCTTCTCAAAGTCTATAAAGTTGAGGTAGAGGTTTGATTGCCATTCCATGCTTTGTTCGATGATGATGCGTAGAGTTGCAATTTGGTCAGTACATGATTTGCCTTTCCTGAATCCAGCTTGTTCTGGTCGGAGTTCTGTCTCCAGTGCGTCCTTTAATCTCTCCAGGATGATGCGACTCAGGATTTTACTTGGCGTCGATAGGAGCATGATTCCTCGCCAGTTCTTGCAGAGTGGGCCTAAGTCGCCCTTCTTTGGTAGTTTCACGAGGTAACCTTTCCTCCAGTCAGTAGGCACCTTTCCCTCCTTCCAGACCTTTTGCAATAATGGAGTCAGCATGTCTGCTGTAGTCTCTGGGTCTGCTTTCAGTGCTTCAGGGGGTATTCCATCTGGTCCGGCTGCTTTTCCAGCTTTCAGAAGCTTGATTGCATTCAAGACTTCAGCTCTCGTTGGAGGATTGGTGTCAACTTGCAGTTGTGTGCGCGCTGTTGTTGGTATTTCTGGACGGGTTGCAGGTGATGGTCGGTTCAAGAGTCCTTTGAAGTGATCCGCCCATTGTTTAATCTGTTTTTCTTCCTTGGTAATGGGCTTCCCTTGGCTGTCTTTTATAGGTTTCGCTTGTGTTGGTCTCTTCCCGGATAGAGATTTGGTTATCTGATATAGTGTCCTCAGGTCCCTTTTGCCTGCTGCCTTTTCAGCTTCAGTAGCTAGATTGTCGTAGAATCGTCTTTTGTCCTTCCTAGCACTTTTCTTCACTTCTTTGTCCAATGCTTTGTAAGTTGAGCTCATCGTCTCCTTCTCCTGTCCGTCCTTGCATTGAATCATTTTCTCTTTCACCATTCTCCTCTCTTCTATTAATTTCCAAGTGTCCGTTGAGAGCCATTCCTTGTCTTGTCTCTTCTTTCTTCCTAGAACCGTTGAACACGTTTCGTTGAGAATCGCCTTCAGAGACTTCCAATGTTCTTCCACGCATGATTCTTCAGTGCTGTCGCGTAGTGTTTCCTGCTTTGCTCTGACAGTTGCAGTGAAGGTGTCTTTTGTGGTTGTGTCCTTCAGTAATTGAGTGTTGAACTTGCATTGTGGCCTATCCCCAGCTATCCTCGAGGCTTTTAGTTTCACCTTGAAAGTCCCTTCTACTAGATAGTGGTCTGAACCCACATCTGCTCCTCTCCTTGACCTTGTGTCCAGTAGGCTCCGTCTCCACTTTCTTGAAATTGAGATGAAGTCTATTTGATTCTTGGTGTTTCCATCTGGTGAAATCCATGTCGTCTTGTGTATATCCTTGTGTTTGAACACACTACCGCCAATCACCAAATCATTGAAGGCGCAGAAGTCTGAGAAGAGTTCACCATTGTCGTTCATTTCGCCGAGGGCCTCACGACCCATGGTGAGTTCTCTTCCTGTGTTGTCTCCTCCCAGCTTCGCATTCATGTCGCCCATCAGGATTTTGATATCGCCATTTGGGACGTTGTCCATTATTGCTTGTAGTTGTCTGTAGAACGCCTCCTTCTTCTCTTGTTCTGAGACGTTTGTAGGCGCATAACATTGAATGACTGTAACTTTCCTTCCTTTTGAGTTGAACCTGGCTGTCATTATCCTGGAGGAGATTGGTTCCCACTGCATGAGAGCTTTGGTTGCTGTTGGTGACATCATGATGGCCACTCCCTCGGTGTGCTCATGGTTGTCCTCTAGGTGGCCGGAATAGATTACTGTCTCTCCAGTAGGTAGTTGGCACCTTCCAGTTCCGTTCCATCTGCTCTCGCAGATTCCCAACACTTCTATTCTGTACCTTCTCATTTCAGCGGCTATCTGGGCAGCCTTTCCAGTTTCGTACATTGTGCGAACATTCCAGGTACCCATCCTTACTTTTGCTTTCATCGAAAGAAGGCACATCGGCTGACTGGCTTCCCGAAGGCTTTCACCAGCCTGCGTCATTTCACTTCCCCGATTCCAGCGAAAAGTAAGGCTATTGCTTATGTTTTTAGAATTTTTAATATATTTATTCGTTGAAGTTTCTGTAGCGATTTGGTTGTTTTACAGGGGTGGAGTTGCTAGCACCACGCCCCAACCCTCCCTCTTTACCCGGGCTTGGGACCGGCGAGAAAACTAGTAAGCTAGTAGCCTAGCAAGCTAGTATCTGGCGAGGTTGCTAGCCAAATAGGTAGACAGCAATTTACCTCAATGTTTATGTCCCCAATATTGGTCATGTCAAAATAAGAACAAGCAGATAGATGATCTGACTTTCAAGAAACGGTCACAAAGAGATGAGAGATTAACTTTCAGTGAGAAACAACCAATCAGAAGACTGTGTTTGTATGCTAACAATAATTTATAATAATGTACATGAAAATATGTGTCTCTCTGGCCCTTGTCTCCTGTTGTTATAATAATAGTGATGTACTATCACAATAGTGGAAATTCAAACTGTCCATCAAACAAACAGCAGTAGTGGTAATATTGTAGTATTAGAGGTACTGTGTGTAAACACAGTGTTTATATATTAGTCAAGCAAACTCAGACATACAGAGTTAACAAAAGTACAACTAGACGTTGTCAGCTAAATGGAGAAAACCAACAGAATTAGGATGGTGAATAAGAGTCATCACCTGTAACTGTGTACTAGGTTAGAAATTAAGTAAACAAACGCAAATGACTCCATGTACCAGGAATACAACACAAAATCAATTTCATAATTTCCAAATCACACAGTCCGAGATGAGAAATCACAACAGTTTCCTTCGTAAACCAAAATTATTCGGATCATAATCAGTAACATCATAGTAAATAACAATCAAGAAGTCGAGCGAAATACTATGGTGGCATATAACTTTGGTTTATAAGAGTAGTAAGAAAACACTCGATTCACCCAGTTGTGAATGCGACTATCGGTGAGTCTTAATTCTATAAATGATAAAAAAAATTAAGGGGACGGAATAAACTGCTGACCGACAAAATGAGGACAGACTTGAAACAAAAGTGAAACAAAGAAACGGAAACCATTGTGAATTGACATATACAAAGATTATCGCATAACACATTAAGAAACGTTAAAACCTTTTCGAAAAGTAGTTTACTTTCCGAACCATCGAATTTGCCATTTTTGTATCTGTTTCTACACCACAATCCGTAGTTCATTTTTGCGGTATTTTGTAGCCGACCACGCTGATATTATATTCTCAAAATTATTATCTCCTGTATTTCTGGTATTTGTTTACAACTTTATAATATGGCGAAGGCCTAGGTCCCTATCATTTTTACGTTCCCCTGGAATATTGTCATTATGATGAACGAACACCTGAAACATTGAAATAACCACTTATCAAGGTATATTATCCAACTAGCTAATATGAATACGCCGTACTCTTGCGCCTAAGTATATCTGAGCAAATTTCCATCCTTCTGTATGACGCATAAAGCTAAAGTAGACATAAACAAAAGAAAATCAAAGAAAAAAGGATACCGAAAACAACGAAGCAATCACAAGACATATAATCTAGGAAAGAGAATGCTCAGTGGCGACTATCTTCCGATATTGTCACGCAAAACAAACATTCAAAAAGAAGGTATAAAGTCATTAAAAAAAGACACGAGATCATGAAACCTATTATGCAAACGTATGTGAGTAAACAAGTGTTAATAAAAATCATCTAGTGTCAAACCGAGGATTTCCCCCATAATCAGCTGGTTTACTTAAGTGAAAATCAGTTGATTATAGCTACTTGAATTCTAAAAACTACACACGCATACCAAATGAATATAAGAAGGTAATACAGTAGTGGTATTTTCAATTTTGTTTGCTAGAACAAATGATTCTAGTCAAACAGTCTTTAGTACGAAGTAATTTGATGCAGATTATCTGCTGGTGACAAGCATATCTCTACTGCAATCAAATAACAGTTAATCAATAATAATGAAGCAAGGAATTCACATAGTAAGTGATTCTCTTATTCTATACACTAATGTTGACTGACTAATGAAAACGTCCACCGTTTACCCATAAAGTGATTATCAAGACAATCATAGCAAAAGTGTGTAGGGGAGAAAGCACTATGAAGCACAGTACGCAGCAGTACACCGACCCACTGGGGTTATGCTTCTCATCTACACGCATAGGAATTGGAACAAGAATTAAAAACAAACAGAAGTAATGATATCATAAGAGAGATAGTAAAAAGAGAAATGAGTAGAGAAAACATGATGAATCTCCAAAAATAAATTAATATGTATTCCGACAATTTCCAAAGATATTTGAATGTACCATACACTTCTTGGTTTTACAACAGCCAACACTAAACAAGTTGTTAATTTCTAATGCAGATACCTAATGGATTGGTCATATAGCTAGACTGTTAGATTACTTCCACTAGCTTTTGGCATCAGGTGATGTGAAGAACAAGGTGAACTGCAGAAGTCAAAATTAAAATAAGAGTCCGATGAAACATACAAAGGTCACACACCTGATACAACTTGGCTAGTAGAAAAGTATGATCACCCCCTGAGAATATTCGTCGGATAACATACGGTTTGCCAGATAACAAAGCATCACCATTAGAGTTCTGTTCATTCCACTTGTCAGATGACACCCAAGGACCTGGGGAAAGAAACAGAAACACGAAGATGAAAGCTGTGAATGAAATTCACTGAAAGATAAAAAGATAAACTCAGTACTCTATAAGTCTCAAATACAGAACGCTAAATAGCAGCAAAACACCACAAATAAGGAAATAAACAGAAAGATGCAAAGTAGCATGATAATAATGGATTATAAATCTATCGCGAAAGGAACATTAGAAAATATAACCCATACTTTTGTAACACTTTTAATAAGATATGCAAGGGTACAGCATTAGCTGCGCTATATTTTGAAAGCCACCTAAAGATACAAATGATAAGTCAACACAAACCTGACCAGGTCCCTGAATTACACCTAACCAGAAAGATAACATAGAACCTATGGGTTGAAAAGTAAACAAACTAATTTACTCATATACATATGCAAATATAATTTTAATATAAAGTGAATTGATTACCCTTAACTGGAAAAGGAACTAAGCGATTTGAAGTATCACCCACACCCAACTGTCCATTACTGCCTTGACCAAATGCAAATAATCGACCATTCCTAGGAATTAACGCCATTGTATGAAATCGACCACAGGCTATTTGAGTGACAACATTACCCATAAATTCCGTCACTTTACGAGGTACAGATATACCGTAGACTGATTCATTATGGCCTAATTGACCGTGTCTGAAAAAAAATTACAGAATTCGAGTACAAAAATTAGAATTATCATCTTTTAAACAAGAGTACAGAAGATATATTAAGGAAAAGGCAATAAAATTCACTCTTGAAATGGAAAATGAATCAAAAATCTTCTTTCTTGGTGTGGAACTAACAAGAACTGATAGGACCTTAAGAAGACCGATCCATAGAAAAGCTACTTTGAGTGGTCAACTAGAAATCTTCTATAGCTGGGTACTCATTCAACAAAAGCGGAATTTAATTAAATCCCTTGCCACCCGCATCCGAATTATCTGTAGTCCCAACGTTTTAGAAACAGAATTAGATGCTTTGAGAGAAATCTTTATCCAAAATGCATACCAACCAAGATTCATTGAAAAAATATCAAACCAAGAATTTGGTGGAATGAAACTTCACTCGCGCCGAAACAGGAACTCTGCATGAGCTTGGATTTCACGGGAGGTTTAGAAAGCGATATTCTCTAGAGAGGGATCACATCATCTCTAAGAAGAACATTCTTTGCAGCAATGCTAAATATAGTGTTTTCCAGTCTCCACTGACCTGCAGAAACCTTAAGGACAAGAACCCGCACCTGACCACTTCTATGTGCATATATCAGTTACCTGCAGCTGTGGAGCCAGGTACATCGGTCGTTTGACAAGCATCCTGTCCAAGAAGGTTCAAGAACACTATCCAGCATGGTTGCAAAAAAGCAATAGTGGTGCTACAAAGAGTGGGATAAATGAACACCTGGGGTTTGGAACTAGTGGGTGCGTACTGTCGATGATTCCCAAACTAGGATGAAACAGCTGTCCAGTGCTCCCTGGTTTTTAATGGTTCTCTAACTGATATCAATCCGTGGTCAAACCCATAAAACCAAATCTAATCCTTACAAAGCAACCTTTGAAAATTGTATTTATGGATGGCAAACTTAATGTACACATGAGTACAAAATAACTTATATATATTTACGATTGTACATCTAAGTTAATGAATTTGCCAAAAAGAAACTCTTCGCTGAACTACTTCTTTTGTTTTCATTAATTCCATAACTCACGAAACGAGTTTCAAGTATAGAGGGGTTCACACAACCAAACATTTTAGTGGTAAATTACGTGAATGAAAACGGACCAACGTCAACTTTTCATTTTGTCAACGACGCTGAAAAAACATTTTCGAGGAATTGTGGGCAAAATTTCCTACTTAAAGTTGCACCACGTTAGCTGAGATTATGAAGAATCAACTGTGCTCCAAAAGACATTAGTATATATTACTGCATCACTTGGTGAAACAAGCTAATATATCAATACATTTTTAAGGGGTTGTTACATTACCAAGGCCTTTACAACATATGAATGGTGACTCCACCCTTTCATACCGTTTTAACAGAGGGTTTTAGTTAGTGAAAAAACCAACAGTGACCCAAACGCAGTCAATGACTTTATAGTTTGGTGTTAATGTAGTCCGATCACTCCTAACTCTTTGTCGATCTTATTCGATGTAACTTGGCAAGTCAGGTGATGGCTTGGCACGTATAAGACAAGTTATAATCACTTCATCCAATGAATCTATATGATCTCACGACCATTTTCAGCTGGTAGAACAATTTGTCCGATTAGTCCCCATAAACAATGACACATTAACCTACCAAGTAGTAGGTTGGCCTTCTGTGTGTCTTCACGGTACAACTTCCATTGTTTTTTCGATCGTGACCCATCGAGTACTGTGCCAACCTCTTTCTATGGGGGAAGTGTCACATTGAAGAACGAAATAATGGGTTAACCGGTCTGTCATGTCCTTAGATATTCGGATTCAGATGTGCGCTAGAATGACTAGCAGTGATTCTGGGAACCTGGTCTGAAAGGTTCAGGGACACTGTTTCACTGTCACGAGGTTTGCAGTTATTCCCCTTGAACGCGGAACAACTACTAGTCATGGGCTCGCTTAAATGCATCCCTGCTATTTGTATGCATCACCCGGATGGTTAAGTGGAGCCACTGAATTGGCGTCATAGCAGTGACTCTGTTGCTCGATTGACGCCGAAAAGGCAACCTAACTTGATTATTTAAAGGAATTAAAGGTTGTGGAAATGTGTTTGTGGGTACAGACATGGAATGATCATCAACAGGCATCCCTGTATATCCCATATGAAACGGAGTATTGGCCTGGTATGTACACTTGTTGTACATAAATTGTCATTGCTCATCAGAACACTTTCACTACTTTGACCTGAGTGTCTACCCTAACCAGGAGCCACGACTGTGTTACCGCTTCTTTTAAGGGTATCGTGGTAGTACATGACCTGATGACTGCGTGCTAGTTTGAAGGAGATTTATATACGTGCACCTGGCGCTGATAATGTTGACTCCCTTTCCCACTATCTCAGCCATCGGGTTTTCCCTACAATGCAAATATTTTTTCTCGCATGAAACTGGATTTAGAAAATACCGTACTTAAGCTGGCTCAGCATATTTGTGCCTAGATGGCAGCACTTATGTATTTAGGAAATGGGGATCTAAAATTACCGGCATATAACTTAAGGTAGTAGAACCCTCTGCTTGCACAGATGAATGTAGCCGACAACGTAAATCAAAATGAACTACACACTTGTTTCAACATCCTGAACGCATATTGAGGCTGCGTGATATTCAGTGACCATGTTTATCTACATACTGAGTCGTGAACCGGATGAGTGCTTTCCTGTGTGCCTTATTAAACACTCTGCTGATAACTTGATTATTACTTTTCTTGTTGCTCGATCTAGTGAGAACAAAGTGGATGGACATGGATGCGGTCAAAAACCTCTACGTTTTTCATATCTTCTACGTTCAGTGGCAATATTTTATAAATCCACATGGAAGAACGATGTGAAATGCTGCACAGTGCACATATCTTTTGATGGGTGGCCGGATATCACGCCTGCTACAAAGATAAAAGATTTCAAACCAGTATTTGCATCTGCACAGAGAATTCATCAGTAGTCAATCTTTTGTACTGAGGCAACTTCTTAAATTAGTAAAGTGTTTCCTAACCTAAAACTAATGGCCAGAACATGCCAATTTTGTAGAATCATCTTACATTTGATAGGGAAGAATTCTGTACCAGGGTGTTCAAAAGACTGATTTTTGTCAATGACTTCGCCTTAAAAGATCGTATCATCAGAGTACTTTACATAAACAAGACCTTCCCACGGTAGCAAGTCAATCTCTGAGAAATCGAAGTCAACCACAGTCACATTCATCAGTACATCTATGATAAAACTAAGTAAAAACAGGGACATAGGTCATTCTTAGTGGGCACATATGGCCACTATCACTTAAGACAAGATTTCATATGCCGTCACACGGATGTGCAAAGACTGACGTAAAACACATTCGCAACACTACCTTCACAGACAAATATTAACAAAACAAAAATATAACAGATGTTAGATGCACATAAATATAAATGTATTCCAAAACCTGATCAAGGCTGGTGTGATTAATACAACCTCGCCCGAATCCGAAACCTGATTACTTCCCTGGAGTTTGTTTATTCCAAGCCCCACGTACTATTCGTGATCAGAAAAGACATTACTTGACTGGATCCCGGTAGATAGCCGAATGTGTGCTGTCCGTCTAAACGGATCAGTAAAAGGGAGAAAGAACTTCACTACTCGCCGATGCCTTTTCGTAATCTCCGCCTACGCCCCCACTGACTGCAGTTCAGATGAAACGAAGGATGAGTTCTACCAAAAGCTGTCTAGTTTGGTGCGAAAGGCTAAACGCTCAGACATAGTCGTTCTAGCTGGTGACTTTAACGCTCAAGTAGGGAAATTGTGTCAATCTGAGAAGGATGTCGGTGGCACCTATGGAGTTCCGTGCCAGCGAACCGACAACGGTGACCGTCTCCTACAGTTCTGTTCTGATAATCATTTGTTTCTTGTAAGCACTAACTTTAAACACAAGGAGAGACACTGTTTAACCTGGCGACCCCCATCATCAAACCAACGCTGGACACAAATAGACCACATAGCAATAAGCTATCGTTGGCGTGGGTCGGTAGGAGATTGTCGCTCCTTCTGGAACACGTGTGTAGATACCGATCACGCACTGGTCCGCGCTCGTGTGTGCTTACGACTGAACGGACGTAGGAAACAGCTGGCGGTAAAACCATCACGTCCCCAGCTCGATCAGGAAACTAAATCCCTATTTGAGGAAGAACTAGCTAAACACATATCTGAGTTCGACAGCTGTGCTCACCCTGGAGAAGCCTGGAAGAATATTCAGTCAGCCATAGATACAGCTGTAAAAGCTGTGAATAAGGTAAATCCAAAGGTGAGTAAAAACCACTGGATTTCGACTGCCTCATCCGAACTGATAGATGCTAGAAGACTTATTCCGGCGAGCTCCGAATTCAATGAGGAGCGAAAGCTGCACAAAAGGAAACTTACTAAAAGTCTCCGCAAGGACCGTGAACAGTGGTGGCGACAAAGGCAAAAGAGATGGAAAAAGCATCGGCGATAGGCAACACTAGGCAACTCTTTAGACTCATCAGGGAAACGGGTGGGAGAAGGAAATCATAAGTGAGACTATTTCTGAGAAAAATGGCTCCTTAATTAGCTCTCAGGATAGACGCCTTGAACGCTGGAAAGAACACTTTGAGGGACAATTTAACTTGCCTACAGCCACACTGAACCTCCCCGAATCGAGCACACACCCGAATGGGATATAGACACTGGTCCGCCGTCTGTAAGTGAGGTCACAAAAGCTATCAGTAATTTGAAACGAGGCAAAGCGGCAGGACCCGACGGAATTATTCCGGAGGTGTTTAAATATGGGGGTGACATACTAGTTTGTAGATTAACTGAGGTACTAGGCAAAGTCTGGGAATCAGAGACAGTTCCATCAGACTGGGGTAAGTCACTTATTATACCGATATTCAAGAAGGGAAACAAGTCCTCGTGTGATAATCATAGGGGGATCAGCCTAACGAACATAGTCTCTAAAATCCTAGGCTCAGTAATCATGCATAGACTAAGCAGAACTCGGGAGGAACAGACAAGGGAAAATCAAGCAGGCTTTAGACCAGGTAGAGGGTGCATAGATCATATCTTCACTCTTCGACAGATTCTAGAACATAGACACACTTTTCGGCGTCCAACAATTGTCATATTTCTTGACTTGAAGGCGGCCTTCGACTCCGTGGATCGAAAGGTACTATGGCAATGTCTGACTGTGAAGGGAGTGCCAAGAAAGTACATTGCACTAATCAAGGCACTCTATTCAAACTCACGTAGTCGTGTAAGGGCTTATGGGGAATTGTCATCTGAATTGGTAACAACCAGTGGTGTCCGACAGGGATGTCCACTTTCCCCATTTCTGTTTAACTTCATCATAGATATGCTAATGGAAGTATCCTTAACTGAACGTAGTGACTTAGGAATCGACTTGTTACCAGGGAATAATCTAATGGACTTAGAATATGCAGATGACATAGTCCTGTTAGGGGAGGATGCTGACAAAATGCAGAGTCTTCTGAACACCTTGAGCAGCAATCTTCGTATGTTTGGCATGCGATTCGCCCCTACAAAATGTAAGATGCTGCTACAGGACTGGACTACGTCAACTCCTAACTTAGTGATAGGGAGTGAAGTGATAGAACATGTTGACCACTTCACCTATTTGGGAAGTTGTATTAGCACCAACGGACTGATTGGCGATGAAATCTCAGCACGGATCCGAAAAGCTCGAGCTGCTTTCGCTGACTTACACCATCTCTGGCGTAGGCGTGACATCCGGTTATCAACCAAGGGACGTGTGTACTGCTCATCAGTTCGCTCCGTCCTTCTCTATGGCTCTGAAACATGGCCAATACGCGTTGAAGACATGAAAAGGTTGACTGCTTTCGATCATAGATGTCTGCGATCTCTGTCTCACGTTAGGTGGTTTAATAAAGTAAGTAATGTTGACGTTAGGCGTAGAGTGTTGGGCAAAGAGGGAAAATCAATCGACGAGGCTATAAAGTTACATAGACTAAGATGGCTAGGTCACGTGCTGCGCATGCCTAACCACCGCCTCCCCCGACGGGCATTACTAGCTGATATAGGTGCAGGTTGGAAAAGAGCCAGTGGTGGCCAAACAAAAACATGGCATCAATCCATGAAATCCTTGACAGTTAAACTGAGTCAGGTAGGGAGATGCAGACTTCCGGGTTGGGGCCCTCGGGACTCTAGGAATCAATGGCTGGTGACATGGCTCAAAATCGTTGTCAATGGCGCAGATGTATTCAGTCTCTGTAATCTTTCATATTCCTTTCTACCATTACCCATTCTGTTTCACTCTTATACTTGTCAAACTCTATTGATTCTCTTCACTCATCTTCTTGTCTACCTCTGTGTGCTATTTGGAACGTGGCAACTCGAACTGCTGCACTTCGGTGCCAAGTTCTATGTTGAATCCAGACAGACAGACAGTATTCGTGATACTATGGACCATGTCTCATGGATGTGCTACTGATTAAGCTCACCCTTCTGAGATTCGTTCCTTTTCTAAGGGGATGGAACGATGTTATCAAAAATTTTCATACCATTAACTGGTGTTCCAAACGTGGCCGGAATCAGACCACCAGGCTCAACTAATGTGACGCGTTTTAGATTAAAGATAAAGTTTGCTACCTTGGTTACAACTGGAGAACCTTTGTGTAAGACCTTGGAATTCCAAAATTCACAGTTGGAATGAATTCTGTGGGATAAATACTGCATACGACAAGATATGAACTAAACTCACAGCGAGGGGGTTGATTATCATATCCAGTAGCTTATGCTAAAGTGGGTGGCCGAGGGTCAAATTCTAGGGTTGAATGATAGATAAGTGTTGATATGTCCACATCTGAACCATTTACTTTTTGCAGAAAACACAATGGCTTCGAATGAAAATTGTCTTTCATTTCTTCCGAACTATAATCAAGTTGGTGACAATTCAGCGACGAGTATCACAGTCACTTTTTGCCCTTACAAGTCTAGTCAGATGAAAACATACGGACGATTAACCACCATGGTTCAATTGTCCACTGAGTTTAATCATCTAAAGCTATTTCTTCATCGGTAAGTCCACAGAAACCAGGTAAAGATTCTTCTAATACTTGTATGGTGAATTTCGCACATTAAGCTCACTAGCCAGATGAACTCAAGTTGATAATTACACTCGAGTGAGAAATACATCCACAAAGACTAATGTTGGGTATATTCGATTTTCAAAAACTATTAACTGGAGAAAATAATGAGTAAGCATCAAAAAGTAGACGAAAAGAACGGCCTATCTGAAAAAAACTAACTACTTACCTTCCAGCACCAAAAGTGAAAACACCGCCATCTCGTGTAAGCGCAACTGTATGTTGCTCACCACATGCCAAATAGACTATTTCATGACGCTGTAAAGATTTGACAGAAGTTGGAACAGGTACGTTACTTCGACTTGAATCCTCCGGTGAGTCAGAACGATTTCTATATTCCCTATCGTCTGCACCACTGGTTGAATTGGAATATTTCCATGATAATTCACTCTGGTCACTTGGCGAAGATCCAAAATAAGTTAGACCAAGTTGACCATATTTATTAGATCCCCATGCATAAAGCGAACCGCTAACAGTCAGTACAAAACTGTGCCAACCTCCGGCTACTATACGTCGAATAGGCAAACCTGAAAGACATAGGATTTGTTGTGGTATGGCAACTGGCTGGTTATTAACACAACCCAAACCCAATTGACCTTTGGAATTTGAGCCAAATGCAAAGACACAAGAAGTATCTGTCAACACAAGACTGTGTTCTATGCCTAAGCTAACCTAGAAGAAAATAACACAAATCTTTGTTAGATTAGAAAAATAAGAAGCACACTTTATTCTGAGTTGGCTCTGATTAGTACGCTAAAGTCTATGTGAACGGGTTGGTGGCTACGGTTAGGTCGACAGTGATTTCTGCTGGATAAAACTACTTCATAAGTCTTCATTCCCTCACTACTGAGTCGAACCAACACCACTAGTCACTTGAACCATACCTGCAAAAATTCTGTGAATTTTTGATGTCGTCGTGTTCTCTGAGCTGGATGGTTTACTTTCGAAGCTTTCATTGCCTTACTAGGTAACATCTTCAGGGACATAAAAGTGAGGGCAGTCTGAATCTAGAAGCACAAAGGTAGGTAGACGGTATGGGAAGCAGATAGTTGATATGTAGTCAGACAAAAACAAATCAAGTGTCACATGTTTATGGTGAGATGGTGAGCAAGGTCATTTTGGACATTTTCGCTTACGCTTGTGTCCTTGGCCAGGTATATACCCATCTATGGTCATTGTTCAAGCATATGCCATTCGCCAAATATATGCTCTCAAGATGTGTTTCAGGTTTGATCACAGATCAATATTAGTTAGAAAATCATTGAAAACCAGGGAACACTGGACAGCTGTTTCGTCCTAGTGTCAGGCTCGTCGGCAGTACGCCGGATCCCAGTGGCTGAATAGTCTACAAGCTTTCCTAGTAACCAGAAGGTCCTGGGTTTATACCCCGGTGGTTGTATGCTGCAGATCGGTCCCAAACTAGGACAACACAGCTGTGCAGCACTTCTTGGTTTTCAGTGGTTCTCTAATATATATATATATATATATATATATATATATATATATATATATATATATTGCTTTCTTTGGTATACTTAGACTTGGACTTATACGGACACTGATAAATATACTTTCCATACCATGTTGTTGTGCGTACTCACTGAAGTAGAGCGGGATGGGTAAACAGGTAGCTGTTGTATATTGTTGATGGAGTAGTCAAGAGATATTCGTGATCAGCATGTGTATCCAGTTCGGCGTTCCTATTTCAATCTAAATATTATTACAAAATAATATAGTTTCGACTTCATAATAATCGTATGCTGACAACTATCCGTTAAAAGGGCCTGTGAAGTGTGGAGGCCTACAATGCCTGAGTTTCCTAGACTGAGGTTGACGTCAAACTAAATAATAAAAGTTGGGTAATGAAAACAGCTGCATGTACTGAAGTGCCAAATGGCATACTACCCAGATAACTCATATTTAACTATTCTCATGGGATGCAGTAGACTTTGGAATGCTCAAGAATGTTTCTCTAACTAGATTGCCATGCTGCCCATCTTCCAAAAAGATCTACATCACCCGGGCATTTTTCAGCTAGGTAGAACTCGGTCAGAACAGATTTATTAGATATCAGGTTGTCAAACACATCAGGACAACAGTATAAAGTGAAATTCGAAACTAGGAGACACTGGATTAAAATTAGGTGTTGAAGTCGAATTTCCGCATAAATTTGTTGCTTGTCACGTAGGGAGATTGCTTATCATACTTTGAGGATTTCATAAACATAGATTTTCAAAGGGCTGGTGGGGTTTTGGATGCACTAATGGAGCGTCTGCCGTTACATATTCTACAAAATCAAATATGCCTTTATATTCTAAGCATTCTATGAAAAATGGCACCAAACAACGTATGGTTTGATCGGTTTATTTGTGATCGAATATATCAGCTTGGTAAATGGGCCATCAGGATGATAGTTCTACGTTTAAGTTTTTATTCCGATATAGACTACGTTTTATCATAAAGACTGAACACCAGATTAAAAATCAAAACAATTTGACCTATTCAAAGGATATCTTAATGGTTGAAATAAGTAAATTAATCAATGTAATAATAAAAACTAACCTGAACAATTTTGTAATTAGATAACGCACGAACCAATTTGACTCCAGTGTTATCACCTTCTCGACCGAGTTGTCCATTTGAATTACAGCCCCATGTAAAAAGAAGTCCATTATACGTAATAGCGGCATTATGATAAGCTCCGCATGCAATGCTTGTTATCCTGTATTGTTCTAACACACTTATCTGATAGTGGGGAAAAAATACAATGCCGCTGAGCAACCCTATTTCGTGCACTACTCCATTATATATACATTTAAAATGTTACATCATACTCATTACAGAAACCAGTCAGATAATAGGTGCTTAGTGGTGTGAATACAAAATAACCTCAGCTAGCCGCCGTTGGGCACTGGGCTAGAAACGCTACTCTACAGGAAAAAACAAGCGCCACTAGAACTTCAAAGCACAGAAGAAACAAATTTATTCTCCGATTGAATCAGGGAGGAGGGATGATGCCAGTCAGTGAGAGCCTCCAAGAGGAGAGTAGACTGACGCGTGTTCTTTCAATGAAAGCAAAGTATAGGGACATGGAATATCAGTGTGGCAAGTGCTACTGATAAGATTTATCAGTAGTTTATAAAGAGACGTTTATCGGTATACAGACATCAAATAGCAGGGAGATACATTTGATTTCTGTCTGTTTGTCTGTATGGATTCAACACAGAAACACATTTGATTTCAGAGAAGGCGAATGACACAGAGTTGTGTAGATACATGGGAGAGGTGAAAGGAACACAAATAAACACAACATGAAGTCCAGACGTACCACAACACAAAGATATGTGCAAATGTGTACAACATTCACGAACATACTGAGGGTGCAACTATTTATGAAGGTAGAAACAGCAACCTAGGCTCTCTCATGCAGTCAGAACCAGCAAGATTAAACTCAAGAGGTGGAAAAGTTACATTTATCTAATGCTATGCTCCTAAAAACAACACAGACCAATAGGAGGGAAACTTCTACAGAAAATCCGACCTCAAGCAATAATGCACCAGAACCTCAGACAGCTGGTGACATCAATATTCTAGTGGGTGAAATCTCTGCCAACCAAAATGGGAGGATACAACACACAATGGGAGCTCATCATGGATCAAGAGCTCCACGGTAAAATGATAGGGGAGTGGGAACTCTGCAGAATCTTACACACCTAATGATTTGGTGGTCGGAAGAAGCATGTACAAGTACAACTATATCCAGAAGGTGACGTGGGTTTTATCAAACTGACATTAAATCAAATAGATTCATCTTAATCTCAAGAGAATGGATAAGCAGCTTATAGTACACAATATCGTAAAGATATACAGGAACCTCCGAAACCACGTTGAAAGCCTGATAAGAAACTGGAGGCAGACCAGAATTCAAGTTCACAACTAGGAAGCTTAAGAACAAGGCTACGAAGGACACCACAGCAGTCATTAGGAAAATGTCGGAGACATTAAGTGACATCACCGAAAAAATATGCGTGGAAGAACACTAGAACTCTTTTAACAGTTTGAAAAAATTTGAGCATTGGGTATATGATATTTATTATAATGAAGGTTTCTGTATTTCTCAATGAATGAAAAACAAAACGATATTGTTTTTCATTCATTGGGAAATACAAAAACCTTTATTATAACACTAGAACTCACTTAAAGTGATCTTAAAAGAAGCCTGTGTAGACACATTAGATAAGAAGGCACGATAAGGAGCGACTATCTACGTACACCTGAAAGCTCATAAAGTAGATGACAGTGAAGCGGAAGATCAATCAGTGCAAAGACGAATAAAGAAAGCAGAACCTGAGTAAATTCCACCAAGCGCTGAGCAAAAGAGCAGAGAAGAGTGCTAGTAAGGACAAAAGACGCTTTTGTGACACACCAGGAAGTGACGCATGTTGCAGGTTATTTATTATATAACAAATAGTCGCTGTTTTTTATTAATTCCATTTATTTATTTCAACACAGAAAAAAACTTGGTACAATATGGCACCAAGAAAGATGCGCCACACACTAATAATAAAACGACATGGATCAAAAGTAAAAATATGAGTAGAGAACGGATAAAGGACTTCATCTGGAAGGAAAACAGTCATACTTAACAAATTCAACAAAGTTCGTTAACTGTCAACGGGAAGGGAAGAAAGAAGGAAATTGCAACACGTTCGCCATTGATTACGATTCTTGGCCGTATCCGATATCGTTTCGAGCCACCGATTTGAACTATCTCGCGGACCCCAACCAGGGGTCCGATGCTGACCTGGCACAAACATCATTCATCCCACGACGCCACGTCATGGACTGACCACCCCTCCGCCTTTTCCAACCCGTCCCAGGGCTAGCGAACAGAGACCTGTACGGAAGCCTCTGGGATGACATTCGCAGCACATGTCCAAGCCACCGGAACCGGTGTTACCAGATGATGACACTCAACGATTGGTGATCACTGTGTTCAAACACACGCCGCTGAATCTCATAACTACTCACATGATGTTGCCATCGAACGCAAGCAATCCTGCGGAGACAGCGATGATCGAACACGCAGAGTCGCCGCACACCCTTAGCTTGGTGACCAGGTTTCACAGGCGTAGAGAAAAACAGTCCGCACCGAAGCATTGTATAGCTGACCTTTGACAGCCAGGCTAGCGTCGCGACGGCGCCAGAGATGGCTGAAGTTGATGTATACCACTCTAGGCTTCATTATAAGATTCGAAATCTCATCCGTCATCTCTCCGCCAGCACTCATACAACTACCCAGATACCCAGGTACAGGCTCCTGCTAATCTTGTAACAGTACTTTGCACTTAGACGGCGCAAACTACATACCATACTTACAGACACTGATCACCGACTGATTAAGTGCGATTTGGGCTGCAGGTAAGAGACCTTATAACACTATATTGAGCAAAGCAGGTAGCTTTCTAGGAAGAGATCAACGTAGATGAAGCCAGTTAGAGATAATGACAAATGAAACGCAGGACCAATCACCACCTCAAATGACTCCTGAATATAGAGACGCTCAGATATACCACCAGCAGACACAGAACTGCCAATGGACACAACCCTCCATAAAGTTACTAAAGGCTGGAAGAGAAGCAGGTTTATACGGAAATTCCTTGGAAGCAATGAAAACCAATCCAGAGACCTCAGTATACACCTATTTATAAGGTGAAGAAGGAAGGAAAGGTAATTCCTGGTTGAAAAAAGGCTATCTTGTCAAAATTCAAAAGAGAGGTGACTTAAACCTATGCAACGATTAGCATGGCATCATGAATCTTTCCACACTAAGCTAAATATCAAGCATCATCATTGTGAAACAGCTAAAGGACGCCCTAATTGAAAAAATTCGACTGTGAAAGAATATAATAAGGATAAATAAACCATGAGCAGATAAAACTGCTACTGTGTATCATCATCATCGAACACAGACTAGAATGGTGGTCAACTTTGGACCTTACATTTACCAACTTTGAAATTGTCTTTGACAGGCCAGACCGCGAAGTAATTTGAAAACTGCTTCAACACTATGCGTTACAGTGCCACCAACATTTATAAATCTCATTCAACAGCTATGTGACGATAACGCTGCATGCCAATAGTTCACAAGGGTAAGCTTAACGAAGCGTCTGTGGCGAAGGAGGATTAAGACAAGGCTACGTACTGTCACCGATGACCTTCCTGGTAGTGGGCGACTGGATTGTGAGAGAGGTGTGAGAACACCAACATATGTTGGGCTTGCAAAAAGACCCTACTAAATCTGGATTTCGTGAATAATTTTTGTTCAATGTCGCACAAACTTGAAGGTATACAATTCAAACCAACAAATAGGCCGAGGAGGCAGCGAAAACAAAATGTCAAGTCAACACAGAGAAGATAGAGGTGATAAAGATACTCCATCGGCAATAATGAACACCAATCACTATCAGTGGGAAAAATCTGTCTGTCTGTCTGTTTTCGACATAGAACTGCACATATGTGCGGCAGTTCAAGTCGCAACACTCCATGCAGCACACAAAGCAAGAGAAGAAAGTACAAGAAAAGCATAATAGAGAAATCTACGGGAAATCGTCTCTTTTACTTTCTTTGACAATATCTTCGAAACCACAGACAAGCGGCACAGCTACATCAAAGGTAGTCGGGATGAGAAAAGGAGTACACATCTTTGTTACTCTGAAATGTGTGTGGAGATCTACAGCGATCGGTGCAGGAAACAAGACACGAATTTTTAGCACCAATGTCAAGTCAGTGCTTCTATATTGCGCGCGTGTCACGGAATGCATTTCTAACAGACTGCAAACTCTCTTCACTCAATAATGAAAATCAGATGACCCGCCAAAAAATATAAGCAACGAAGAACTCTGACAGGCAGCGAACTAACTAATAACCTATTGTCTCACAAATATACAGGAGAAAAAGAGGTTAGATTAGACATACAATAAGACGTTCACACACCAGGCCGATGAATGGAAGCATGATGTGAATTGGACGTGGGTCCGAGAGTGACACGAAGGAGATCATGTGAACAAGAAATGAAAGCTTGTGAGCAGTCGCAGAACCAGATAGAAATAATGGACAAAGAGTATGGTGAAGATGTGCTACTAAAGCCTTCAGTTTTATTCGGAACGCAAGGAATGAATAACAGTAGCGATTTAACTTAAGGCTCACTCGTTTGATATGAGGGACACAATTTAGACACTGAGTTAGAGCGAAAAAATGTAATGTAATATGCAAAGTACCTTACAATGACTATGAGGTCGACTAGGTCAGACCCCTAGATCGGACGTAATCAGATTTTTGGGACAAGAATTTGGCTAGGTACAGAACAACAGACTCTACGAAAATGAATAATTTGGAGGAAAGCTAAGCAACCGCAATGTGTGTATTAAAACGCGATCACGCTACGGAGCGAGACGGAGTTACAATTCTACAAAGTAATATAGGTAGGTATTGGAAGAGGCTGACTATTAAATCGAATACACGCCTAACACGTGCAATAGTGATGACACGCCTATAAAATCGATTGGTGAGAAATAATGGAACTATATAAATGAAGTTTAAGGATTATGTGAATGGTTTGATATGATTATGAGCAGTAAATTGTGCTCAAGACGTAATCATTAGTTGGGTAATACCGTGTGCTTTTACTAAATAAATTTACACTAGTCACTTCATATTTACACAGTTACTATATTGAAACAATCAGGCCTAAAACATCAAACTTGATTACTGAACACTTTCGATACGCGTAGATAAACTTCCAATAATTACATCAACTTACTACCATATTTTGAAGAGGAATATGTACATTTTGGTCAGCATCACTAGCATTACGCAGACTACTTCATTATCTCAGTTTTGGAAATAAACTTCAATGAGTCCTAACATGACTATTTTTTATGCAAAGCAAAAACATTGGAGACATGTTAAATAAATACACACATTAGTTCATAAGTTATGCTTCATACAAAGAAAGTACAGTTAATCACTTCAAGCTCTAGACTTTCAGTTAGTGAGCTACCTCTAACCAAACCTGAGAAAACCAGCTGTAACATAACGTATGATTCACAGTCTAGTACTTAAAGAATCCTGAACCATGTAACTGAGTTGAACTATTTATTATGCATTTAGTGAGTGCCTACATTTATGTAGGTAAAAGATTGGACCAGCATTCAAATGGCTGATAATCGAATGCCTGATATTAAATGAATATCCAAAGCCATATCGAACAAAATTAGAAAAACATACTTTGCCTAACCGTCCACTGGGCTGTTGATGGCCTAACTGCTGGAATTCGTTGCAGCCACAACTGTACACTTCCCCATCAACACTTAAAAACGCCGTGTGTTTGTAGCCACAGCTGATTTGTATGAATTCAGGCAGGTTGTCGACATTCAAAGATTGTGGGGTCGATAGCTGACATGCATCGGTATTATCTGAAGTTAGTTGGCCTTCTTCGCATGAACCCCAAACAAATAACTCCTCAGTAGGTGATGTCATTGATACACGTTTAATCTAAAACAAAATTAGAGGTAATTACGCATAAAAACAATTTACAGATAGGTCGGATAGTGAAAAAATGACTTTTACAAAATAATCGCTGAAAACAACTCAAACAGATAGGAAGAATATAATTACACAGTGAAACGAAAAGTATAAGCATAAGCTCGAAACTATTTTCCTGCTTTCTGGGACTACAAGAAAACATAATGACTTATAAGAAAAGTAAAACACCACAATAGAATCGATTCAAACTAATAAACTTAGAAACACAGCACAACAAACGAACTAGCAGACACATAGTAAGACTACAACGAACTAACACCAATGCCGAAAAAAAGTAATTCACTGAAAGTTAGTGACTTTAAAGATCACTGGGAGTAAATACATTGATGCGACTATTGACAATTTTGAGCCACTTAACCTACTATTGCTCTTTGGCACCATGACAATAGCCAGGAAACCTACACTTTCATACACGTCTCAGAGCAACAATTAATGAATCCATGAATTGATGGTATATTTTGATTCGGCTACTCATAAGGTTTGTTCACTGTGATAACAATCTGTTAAATGTCAGTTAGTTAGAAATCATTTACTCAGAAAAGATTTTCCAAATACCTAGATATGAGCTACATTTATTGTGAGGGTTAGTGATTCTAACCTGTTGCTCAGGCAGGAGGTGAGAAGGGATTCGAAAACGATACCTATCACGTGAGTCTTATATGCAATAGGGGCGAAATGCAGAGAAAATGTACTCACACATTTACTAGTTTTTGCACCTTAAACGAGTTACCTAAGAGTTAATTCTTGAGAAATCATAATTAGAAGGCTTATACCAAGACTACCCACTTGTTTAAATTCAATTTTTTAAGCATACCCGTACTTTTACAACCGATTTACAATTACATATGTAAACTGTTGATTACCAGTATTAGCTGACTTTTTAACCACACCCATGAATTTCACAATTACTTGGGTTACTTAGACTCCATTAAAGAATCTGACTGATGCTGATTAGGAGGATGTGCGTTATCCTGAGTAATATTAAAACTTCCTTATCAAAATAATTGAGATGGATCACTGAGATACACATACTTGACACTCCTATGTAGTCTGTTTAGACAATGCATGTACATGTGAGTATCGTTGGTGATGGCATTTATCCTTACTAAGTAGGATTTTACAGATTTCAGCATCATTCTGTGGTGCTACCTTGCATGAACTTTGCACTCCACAGCGATTCAGTAGCTATAATGAAAGACCATACAGCTGGGGAAAAACTGCATTCAAGATAAGCACGACTTAGGCAAGAAAACTTTCACCGTTAATAAAATAGTTGTTCGATAGTAATTTCAGAACTAAAATAGAGAGAAAAAGGTTTTTGCACGAAGTATTTTATCTCAATACTGAGATATTTAAATTATAGTTGATTTCAGTCTGGGTCCACATAAATAGTCACAAAAGACTGACGACATCTTGTACATTGCCAAACTACCGATTCACAGACGGTTTGTAGATGTAGTCCATTAAGGTCATTTGATTAATTTAGGCAAATTTCTATCACTAGGAGACAATATATAAAGAGTAGTACATTTAGTGGTTACGATTTCTGGTGAGGCCAGGGGGAATGTACCGAAATAAAATCTCTAAACCTAACCCGATACACAAATTACCAATTAAATTTGGTGCCTTTATAAGGACCTTGATTATCTTAGGCCTTTATTATGGTTATGTCGCTTTTATCTAACTTCACGTTTGGCGGTCGTTACAGTCGAAAAGGTAGCTCCTTATATCTGCGTAACATTTTGTAACCCGTTAACTGGATTACCAGCGTAGAACTTTGAGACCAGGTGTAGTGAATCGGGTATGAGTCGCTTGATCTGCTTCTTGAAGACTTCTAATGTTTTCCACGTAGTTTCTCTTTACGTACGGACAACTGACTGGCAACAACTCCGAGGCCGCCAAAAATCTCAACGAAGTAAAAGTTTCCAAGGCTTCCGGTAATATGCACATTAGGAAACATACAACATTTAGTGTTCCTACTTAAGTGTTACTACAGGGAGTTACAGACAATATATACACACTGATACCCGCCCTACCTACCACTGGAAAATGAATTAGTTACAGCATATTCAAATTAGAAAATGACAACAATGAAAATATTTTTTAACAGAAACACGTTTAAAAAGTACCATCATAGACAACTAAATACGGAGAAGTCGACACACCGTACCGTCCAATACTAACAAACGCTCTACCAATGACCTTATTGTTGTCCGGTAATAAAAACAATTCAAAAGTGCGATTCCGCTGTTCTTTTATCACCAGAAATGTTAAAAAAAAATGTAAAGTAAGTTGATATGATATCCTACATTAGGTCGATTTAAGAAATCGGCTTGTTTAAATGGTAAGGTCACACTACGGAAAACTCAGAAATTGCCAATACGATTTTACAGAAGAGGATAAACGTTATCGTGATGTATTTCCGCGTACTGTATGGGTTATCACGTTCATACCTATAGAGGCGTCACACAAAATTAGTTTTGTGAAAATACATTAAATTTGGCTAGTTTTAGGCTTCTGCAGCCGAAAAAAGCAATGCATTGATGTATTGTGTTCCTATTATTGCGTAAAATTGTCTTGATATCCCAGACGCTTTGTTACTAAAAACAGTCATCCTTTATAAGTGATTTCGCATAGAAAGACTATTATTTGCTTTTTAAAGCCTTAAAGCTTTGTTATTTGCCAGCTGTTTTGTAAACTGATTACAGGCAATAGCTGTTATCATGGCAGTTATTCTTTGAGAATCGGGCATTTGAAAGAGAAATAGCCCACGGACATAAGTGAGATGTACATTTTGAGGATGTTAAACACCTTTATCATCATCCGTGATGATTGAAATACTGCGTAACACATCGAAGAGATCATGTGACGAATGAGACAAGCTGTTGAATTTCCTGGTGGTTATACCCATTTCGATGAAGTTCCTAGTTAAAATTGTTCAGGCGAAGATGTGATACTAGTTTAATTTACATTGTCACATGGAATTTCGTGAGAACGTAATTGCTCAGTGCACAAAATGGCATCAGCTTATGTTGATATTAGTGTGCATTGGGGCAAGAAGAATAGTATAGATGGTCCTTCTAAAATGTCAGACTGCTTAAAATTAGTATCAGCTTTCTGTCGAATAGTAGCTAGCAGCTGTGCCCTACAACTACCACATCTGTTACTTAAGTTATATCAGTCTTAATAATTATTCATTTTCAGATCACTAAGATATTCTGAGATGCTTAATGAATTACTTGTGGCTATGAAGGATATGGAAGGTGCACTTGTGGCTCATATCTTTAAAGCATTTATTATTCAACAAGTTATCTGTAGTGATTTTGTGATGTTCAGGTTACAATGATTGAGTGTGTGTATTTACTGCATGCTATTGTGCGTGAAGGGACGGTTGGTGAAAATGAAAATAGAATAAAGTTTCCCATAAACTCACTATGAATACTGCAAACTGTTGATAAGAAACTGCATCAAAGGAAAAAATTCCGAACAGCTAGATAATATTACTGCAATTTCGATGATTATTTGTAAATCATCTTTCCAAGGCTCAGAATGACCCCAAAACATCAATGCTACCCCACAGTCCCTACAGAAATTTGTGAGAGATCTTACATATCAGGTTGTCTTACGAATTGTCAGCTTGCAGATCTTTCAATTTACCTGTCACTGAAATATCACTTATCTACTTCACGATGGTCTTTTTATTTGTGCACTATTACACTCCTTTTTATCTTAACTGAATAGGCCTTTATTAAGCTGGGAGGTACTCTTTGTGCCTATTAGTTGCTTGCTGAAAGCCTGGCTGCTTTGATTAGAAACACAACAACACTAGTGTTTTAACAACGCTTCATGTCAATGTAGTTGTAGATTGAACTATCAATCCATGGTCGTTTGTGATTGGTCTCTGAAGATTTACCTATGACTGGGAGACGTAATCGCGTAATTTTAGGTAGACGTTTAGGTTTGACCAAAGTACTTATAATTCACCACCTATATCGATCGAGTGTTCCTGCAGAACCACACTTACGTTTAATAACGAGTTCATATCCTAGGAAGTACCGGTCTAGCATGCCATACTCACACCGCATGCAGAACAAATAGAACACAGGAATATGAGATGGAAATTTTTATTTCACTGCAACAAAAACAAGTTTATTTACATATATGACCTGTTCAAAGTCAAAGATGAATGTCATTTGGAAATTATCTCCCATTATTCGACGGAAACTGCCCAGTGTCCGAATCGCATCACGTTCAAATTCTTCCGAAATCCAAGTAAACAGAACTCAATGCCCACATCCAACGTTACCCGGTATCACAAACTGCAAAATAGAATATCTACATGGTTATACATGAATGGATGAGCTTACCTTCAAACGTTGTTGTATGTAGAATCATTTTCTACAACTGATTTTGCAAATGTATCGGGTTATAAGTTGTGAAACGCTCGGCAGTGTTTTTCGGATGGCTTTGTGTGATTGCAGCTGCTTCCACTGAATTTAACTAACTGACAGACCTCGTTGCGGCCCATCATTCCTTAAAGTGATACAGATTAAGTTCACTTACATAAATTAAGCGTTTACATAGTTAAAATGCATGACCATGTATGACTTAGGTTTGAGTTAAGTTCAGTCTTACTAATTTACACTTCCTTTGAAATTTGAAGTACATTAATATTACGCATACATAATATTATTAACTGCCAGTAATTGTGCCATCGAACCATACTACAAAAATACATTTGACAATACCTTGTTAGTGGTCTGAGGAACAAAAATACTAGAGCGAAACATACAGGTTAGATGAAAGTTCCACATAGCTGTCCCACTCGAGGATTTTCCCTCCGCATGTGAACGCATGCGCATAATGGTATGTGGAAATCTTCGTCACTGTTAGCACTGTATAAGGTCCGCGCCTTCCGAAAGTCTTCTAATGCGTTCGCATCTTCTTACATATGTGCTGCTTCTGCTTTTACTGATTACCTGCAATGAGATTCTGGAAAAATGCCTCGTTAACGAAGCACATTATTGCCACAGCTTGTCACCGTTAATCCGCAAGAAACACAGGACACCAGACTACATGAGTTTGAAATATTGAAGTAGGAAATACTGTACGTTCAACCACTACTCAAGAAATGCGTTAAGACCCACGGGATCGTAGTCACTGATAACCACCACAATACCTGACTATTTTCAAGAGAGTTTATAACAAAAAGAACACTATATCTGTATAAAAAACGGTGAAACAATGTTAGAATAGTCTAATGGTACATTTGTATGCGTCAAATTTACATGCAAACCACTCATAACACGACCACACAAAGCCACACGTGCTAGCCCCTAATAAGGACGAATTGAGAATCCAGTTTACCGCCAATCTTCTAGTCTATGAAGACGAGAAAACCTGAAGAGCGTTGAATTTAAAACGCGATAACGTTTATCCTTACCTTTTTTACTTGCAGTGGATAGTGGCACACACCAATTGTCATTAGGTGTTATCGCGACGTTGTGTTTGGGTTGTTCTGTGTTGTATTCAGGTGCTTTTTCAGCTGAAAATACATTAGAAGTACCGCATTTTAACGAAAAAACTCAGAAAAGTGGTGAAAAGTATCCGGTTTTGGAATGCGCAATGATTTACTTTATAAGAGTGATAATTTGCGCAGCATGAGAACACTAGGATAATTGTCTTCCATAGGATATACCTATAATAAGTTATTTTCGGTGTACGTAGCCTTCCTACATTGGTTATAATGTATATGCAGTAATCGCATAACAAACATAAGCTCTGGTGAAAGATAATCTTTTACGCAGTCAGATTGAATGTAACTGAGATGTTGCACGCATATAAGGACTAAGAACGGTCCACGACTTTGACAGTATTTTACAAAAAGGGTTTGTCAATGTAGTTGAAGATTGAACGATCGATTCATGGTTGTTTGCTCAAACCCAACTCTATATTTTGGCGGGGTCATCGATAGTGCAGTCATCGTTTCATCGTTCGCTTTTCGCTGGAAGGCAGAGAAAAAAACTATCAGAAGTATTATTGTGATTTATTGTTATGGCATTCATTCTTAGACTTTGAATACAATAACCTAGTGGTTGGCTCTGTATTGGTGCAAGAATAAGCGGTTCTTGAGTCATCAATTTGTGTTCTGGTTCTTTACGTTGATTACTGAGCATATTTCCTGAAAGTCTTCCAAGGACAGTGTGAAGTCCAGCGTAGTTAGACCTGGACATTGACAGGGTTACTAAATAGCGATTATTACAATACAAACACTTGTTGTACGCTCTTTTCTTCTCACTACTAATGCATACTTATACTATACCCAACCAGATTAAATGTAACTGAAACATTTCATGCGAGGCTTGATGACGCATTGAGGAAATAATAACGGTTTACGATTATGACGCGCTTCAAACAAGTATTACTGCGCTGCCTATCAGTTTTGGTTAACTATGTAATGTCCTCGAAATGATAAGAAAGAGAGATACAGGAAATCGACATTAATTCATATATTTACAAAAGAACAACAGTCAAAAAGTACATGTTCCCATTAAAAAGTGTTTATAACAATTCAGTGAAAAAAAATCACAGTTGCAGATTTTTGTGGCCACATGGTGGTCAAATGAGAGTCCAGTTATCGTTTTATACACAATATGTGGATCAGTTTCCCTCTTTAGAGCTTTCAGCACCACCCGATCCTTCAGAAGAAATTGGTTATGATCTTTCCACGCAAAGATCGCGATTGTATTTCTTCGACCACCTCCGGCCGCACTGAGAAATATCTAAGGATGTATACATATCAGGAGAACAATTCCTTAACTTGGCCACAATGAATATGTGAACAAGGGAGGGAACAATAGTAGAATCGGTAAGATTAGTCCATGTATTCCATGACAGATTTGAAGAATTATAGAACTTCCGATTTATCTTTCACTGTCAATGGAATTGAAGATTGAACGATCAATTCATGGTTGTTTGCTTAAAATCAACTTTCCCAATTTTCGCGGAAGCATCAATACGACAGTCATCGTCTCATCGGTCGCTGTTCAGAAAGAAGATTGAAACATCGTCAGAAGTAATATTGTGATTGATTATTGTAATATTTGTTTTCAGACCTTAGTTTGCTTAGTTCGCT